TTCATCAATCTACTATTCTAAAATTTATTTTTCCATAAAAATGAGTATCAAACACTCTCTTGGATAGCAGATATGAGCTCTAGATTTATTGCCATTGTTTCAATGCCATTTTGGTGTCCGTTTCTAATGTGGTTAAATGAAGATTCCTAGTTCCATTTCAAAAACTTTGCTTTGTGCAGAAAACATAGCATGCTAGAAATTGATTTTTAGTTCAAAAACCCTTACGACATAAGAATTTCCAAGATCTTTTTGGTTCAAGAATCCCTACTCAAGAAGATTTTCCAAGATCTTTACATGCTTGAATCCATTTGCACTTACCTACTTCAATTCTTCATTTGGTAGCAATCCTATGGTCAAAGAACTCAATCAAAATCTACTTTGGCCCGTTCCTATTTTGGTGCCTTTTCAATTTCATGCACGAATTTTCAGTTTACAAGCCCCCAGTTCAATCGTTTGTTTGATAATTGAAGACTAATGGGAAGGTAAATGGAAGTTGAGGGACATCAAGGATTTGAATTCAAATTCAAATCACTTCCTCTAAGCCATTTCAATAAAGTATGGGTCGTGATAGTTTACATGGACGAGCCATGAGTCATAATCCAACACTGTCTAGTAATTTTTTATTCATAATTTTGTGATTAGCTACATGAAATTTATTTTTCACACTTTGGTTTTGTCATATGTACCACTTTGTTTGGTTAATAGTCAGATTTACTGAAAAATAAAAAATAAAAAATTAATTAAATATTTAGCAATAACTATGGGACATGTTAATTTTTATTTCTCTTTTCTTTTTTGGACATGTTCTATTCATATATCTTCTTTTTCACCAATATATACAATATGAGAAGCTTTTTCCTAATTTCACAACCTTCTGTGAAGTAATTATATCGATGTGCCTCTTAATAAAATGTTTTATTACTCGCAAAAAAGTGAAAAACAGTGCAACTCTTACATTTTTTTATTAATATTTTTCTTCACTTAAAAAAGCAAACTGTTTTTAACCAACCTTTTTATAAGTTGATTTGAAATTTTTAATGAATTAGCAAGAACACAAGCTGTCAACTACCTTACATTTGT